TCAGTGAGAGAAAGTGTTGTTGTAATTCCAAGATGACAGAGCTACTATAGAATACACAACATCAGGAGACATATTCAGGATTGTGTCAGTGAGAGAAAGTGTTGTTGTAATTCCAAGATGACAGAGCTACTATAGAATACACAACATCAGGAGACATATACAGGATTGTGTCAGTGAGAGAAAGTGTTGTTGTAATTCCAAGATGACAGGGCTACTATACAATACACAGCATCAGGAGATATATTCAGGATTGTGCCAGTGAGAGAAAGTGTTGTAATTCTAAGATGACAAGGCTACTATACAGTATTAAGCTCTATTAAGAGATTCATACCTTTAAAAGTTTTTCCGCTTGGACAGCATCTTCAGGATTAAATGTCCTTTCCTCTTTGTTTTTTGTATTATTGTCCACTTTTGCATCAGTGACTTGTTCAACTGCAACAGCAAGTATTGAATTGCATATTTATCATAAAAAGGCTATTTTTTTTGAATTACTTAAAAATTCACAAATACAGTGTGAGCTGTAAGAGTGGAAATGAGTCATCATATTTTACATCCGTACAAATAAGTTAATTTAATCATAACACAGAAAAGCTATATGGACATCTGGTGAACAATATAGTGTAGAGAACAATAAAATATACACCTAAAGAACAATAAAAAATAATAGAACAATGAAATATACACCTAAAGAACAATAAAAAATACATAATAATAGGAGAACAATGATATACACCCTGAGAACAATGATATACACCTTATGAACAGTGATATACACCTGATGAATAAAAACAATAGGAGAACAATGATATACACAATAAAAACAATAGAACAATGATATACACCTGATGAACAATAAAAAACAATAGAAGAACAATGTACCTTTAATGTCAGTGACAGATTCTGGAAGATTGTCATCTTCCACATGCACATTTTCATTTGTCGCTGATTCAACTTCTTTAACTGATTCCACACTGGCACTGCTGTCTTCCAGCGATGCAGTCATTGTGTCTTCATGACACATCTCGCTTTTCATGGCAGTCTCTGTTAAAGTTTTATCTAGTTCATCCACTTGGACTTCAACGTCCCCATCTCCATCCTCATACTCATCATCTGCAGACTCTTTCAGACTACCTTCCTCACCACTGCTACTGTATTTATGCACCTCACTACCCGTGGTGTCAGTAGGGGAGGTTCTCTGTGATAAATTCAAGGAAGCATCAGCTAACATTGCAGGGATATCCGTATTGCTGCTAGCATCAAACTGAACATTCTCCTGTGCTTTTTCTTCTGATATAATACTAAAATCACTATCAGAAGGACTTTGTTTCCCATTACCCTGGCACAAAGGATAGTGCCTTGGAGAAGAACTTTCTGGTGAGCTTCTACTTACATTTGTTGAGGATGGTGCACTGCCATTCAGGTCACTGATCACAACAAAGTCGCTATCACTTCTGAAAGATGATTGATCATCCGTTACATGGCCTTCTGAGGAATACTCAGACTTGGAATCTCCTTCATGCACTTGCTCTTTGATATCCACCTTGTCATGCTTTTCCATCTCAACTTCCTTTTTAGTCCTTTCCTCTCCTCTCATGCCCCCTTCTGTCTTACTGGGTTTCATTGAATCATCAGTCCCAACAACATTCCGCGCCACCATAACTACCTCATCATCAGACAAATCTGTTTTTTGTACAGATTCTTCCGTACTTATTTCATCAGCACTAGTCTTAATTGCAGCTTCATCAAAACTTTCTTTATCATCAACTTTCACAAAACCATCTGTTGAGTCTTTTGAACTGTCTGTTGATTCTTTAGACTGGCACATATCTTCAGTGATCTTCTCATCATCCTCCAGCTCAGTAGATTTCCGCAAGATTTCATCCTCCTTCGGAGAACCTTCATATTCATTTTCTGACTTTATTACACTTTTTTTGTTCAAGGATTGTTCAATGTTTTTATCAACATTTGTGTCAACATTTTGCACATTACTATCCCGCCCCTTCACTGGGACATCAGAAACATGTTCAGAACTGTTATCAATTAGAAGTTCTGTTTTTTTAGTTTTGTTCATGGAAGTAACCCCACCCAACCGCTTTGTAGACAGTTCAACTTTACGGGGAACACTTGATGCAGAAAGTTGAGGCTTTCCATATTTCTTTTCTAATCTTTTATCTTCCTCAGATCCAGTGAGAAAAGCTCCCCAGAAACTTTCCCCATCACCAGATAAAACTTGGGATTTGGATGTCCTGGTACTTCTACTAAGGGAAGATGACTCTATAGTTTCTGGTACATTGGATCTTCTACCAGATTTGTTATCTGTAACATTAAAAAAAAAAACATGATGGTAAAAAAATGTGTATTTTCAGACAACAGATAAGACGTACATGCATTATTGGCATATAGGTTAATTCTACCCAATTTTTTTCTTATGGCAGTCATCTTTAAAACTCAGTATTTTGGCCGGTTTGGAAATGATAGAATAGTTCTTTTTCACTCATATTCTTTTCCATTGTACTAGAGGTCTAACATTGATTGAACCATGTTTTACCCGTGCATTGCATCACTATATGTGTATCAGTCCTTTTATAGTGTATTATCGATTGAACCTTTTTTTACCCACACATTGTATGTTTATGCAAGTCCTTCTATGGTATAACATTGATTGAACCTTGTTTTACCCACACATTGTACATCTGTTTCAGTCCTTCTATGGTATAACATTGATTGAACCTTGTTTTACCCATACATTGTATGTCTGTGTCAGCCCTTCTAGGGTATAACATTGATTGAACCTTGTTTTACCCACACAATGTATGCCTGTGTCAGTCATTCTATGGTATAACATTGATTGAACCTTGTTTTACCCATACATTGTACGTCTGTATCAGCCCTTCTATGGTATAACATTAATTGAACCTTGTTTTACCCAAAGATTGTATGTCTGTATCAGCCCTTCTAGGGTATAACATTGATTGAACCTTGTTTTACCCGCACAATGTATGCCTGTGTCAGTCATTCTATGGTATAACATTGATTGAACCTTGTTTTACCCAAACATTGTACGTCTGTATCAGCCCTTCTATGGTATAACATTAATTGAACCTTGTTTTACCCAAAGATTGTATGTCTGTATCAGCCCTTCTAGGGTATAACATTGATTGAACCTTGTTTTACCCGCACAATGTATGCCTGTGTCAGTCATTCTATGGTATAACATTGATTGAACCTTGTTTTACCCAAACATTGTACGTCTGTATCAGCCCTTCTATGGTATAACATTAATTGAACCTTGTTTTACCCAAAGATTGTATGTCTGTATCAGTCTTTCTATGGTATAACATTGATTGAGCCTTGTTTTACCCCCACACATAGCACATTATATTTGTTTTTTAATGGTAAATTAATGGTTTACTCAGAAATTGAAAGTTGAAACATGCTCTGGTCAACCCAAGGGGAGATATCATGGGTTATAAATTTACCACATGCATATTTCTACAGTGTGAAAAAGTGAAATGACAGAGTGTTGAAAGCAGGATTGTTGCTTTAAAGAACGCCAAACACCAATATATCATTACATGTACCTTGTATGCTAATTTTCTTGATGCCATGAGGTTCTATTTTACGCAAACACCTTGTGTATACTTGTGTGCAGTATACACACACGAGCTTGCCAAAATGAACCATTTTCACCACAATTCGTAGTTATCGAATAAAACCTGGGAGCTTTAGGCGCGTAAAATAAAAAATTGGCAGTATATGACATCAAACTACGCAATAAGCATTTTTGATCCGTCCGGTATTTTGTCACACTGTGGAGATACACATATTATGCTAATACGGCACATAATGACACATTACAGGAGGCTGGAAAACACAGATACCAAGATACTGTTTCAAAGTCAGTCATATTTTCAATAGCTTGGAATTGTTATGGGTTTTATGAATTGTAATACAAAAGTATCATGAAATAATAGACAACATGGAAAAATATTATGCAGTGTATGAAAAAGAAAGATTTGGATTGAATAGGATCTTGGTATTAGTACAAAGTGCAGAACGTTTCATGTACTGTATCATTGTACATGTACTACATGAAGATTTACTTCTGGTCAAGGGAAGTTAAAAAAAAAATGGTGCAGTGCACATGCGTTTTATTTATTATTTTATTCACAATATTTTGTGGAAAAAACCCACACTGATATTTACATAGTGCAGCAGCATAACTGTACCTTTGCTGGCACTCCAGCACACATAAAAGTACACCAGTTAACCAGCACCATTAATTCTGAGTTTCTCAAGTCAACAACCTACCTTGCTCATCTTCATCACAACCATCAATATTTTTATGATCATCTTCGTTTTTATTATCATTTTTAGGATCATCTAACTTTTCAACCGGAGCAGCAACTACCTGATCTGAATTTTGTACAAGTTGGATATCAAATACAATACTATGTTCAGAGACAATATTATTACTACATTGTCAATGAGACAATTTGTCAACCCATGTCAATGAGTCAGCCTGTGTCAATGAGACAGTTTGTCAGCTCATATCAATGAGTCAATTTGACAGTCCATGTCAATAAGTCAATTTGTCAGCCTGTGTCAATGAGTCAATTTTTCAACCTATGTCAATGAGCCAGCTTGTCAGCTCATGTCAATGAGTCAATTTGTCAGCCCATGTCAATGAGTCAATTTGTCAGCCCATGTCAATGAGTCAATTTGTCAGCCCATGTCAATGAGATAATTTGTCAGCCTGTGTCAATGAGTCAGTTTGTCAGCCTGTGTCAATGAGTTGATTTGTCAGCCCATGTCAATGAGTCAATTTGTCAGCCTGTGCCAATGAGTCAGCCTGTGTCAATGAGTCAGTCTGTGTCAATGAGTAAGTTTGTCAGCCTGTGTCAATGAGTCAATTTGCCAGCCCATGTCAATGAGTCAATTTGTCAGCCAATGTCAATGAGTCAATTTGTCAATGAGTCAGTCTGTGTCAATGAGTAAGTTTGTCAGCCTGTGTCAATGAGTTAATTTGTCAGCCTGTGACATTGAGTCAATTTGTCAGTCCATGTCAATGAGTCAATTTGTCAGCCTGTGTTAATTAGTCAATTTGTCAGTCTGTTTCAATGAGTCAATTCGCCAGCCTGTGTCAATGAGTCAGTTTGTCAGCCTGTGTCAATAAGTAAATTTGTTAGCCTGTGTCAATGAGACAATTTGTCAGCCTGTGTCAATGAAACAATTTGTCAGCCCATTTCAATGAGTCAATTTGTCAGCCAATGTCAATGAGTCAATTTGTCAATGAGTCAGTCTGTGTCAATGAGTAAGTTTGTCAGCCTGTGTCAATGAGTTAATTTGTCAGCCTGTGTCAATGAGTTAATTTGTCAGCCTGTGACATTGAGTCAATTTGTCAGTCCATGTCAATGAGTCAATTTGTCAGCCTGTGTTAATTAGTCAATTTGTCAGCCTGTGTCAATGAGTCAGCCTGTTTCAATGAGTCAATTCGGCAGCCTGTGTCAATGAGTCAGTTTGTCAGCCTGTGTCAATAAGTAAATTTATTAGCCTGTGTCAATGAGACAATTTGTCAGCCTGTGTCAATGAAACAATTTGTCAGCCCATTTCAATGAGTCAATTTGTCAGCCAATGTCAATGAGTCAATTTGTTAGCCTGTGTCAATGAGACAATTTGTCAGCCCATTTCAATGAGACAATTTGTCAGCCAGTGTCAATAAGTAAATTTGTTAGCCTGTGTCAATGAGACAATTTGTCAGCCTGTGTCAATGAAACAATTTGTCAGCCCATTTCAATGAGACAATTTGTCAGCCAGTGTCAATAAGTCAATTTGTTAGCCTGTGTCAATGAGACAATTTGTCAGCCTGTGTCAATGAAACAATTTGTCAGCCAGTGTCAATAAGTAAATTTGTTAGCCTGTGTCAATGAGACAATTTGTCAGCCCATTTCAATGAGACAATTTGTCAGCCCATTTCAATGAGACAATTTGTCAGCCAGTGTCAATAAGTAAATTTGTTAGCCTGTGTCAATGAGACAATTTGTCAGCCTGTGTCAATGAAACAATTTGTCAGCCCATTTCAATGAGACAATTTGTCAGCCAGTGTCAATAAGTCAATTTGTTAGCCTGTGTCAATGAGACAATTTGTCAGCCTGTGTCAATGAAACAATTTGTCAGCCCATTTCAATGAGTCAATTTGTCAGCCAATGTCAATGAGTCAATTTGTCAATGAGTCAGTCTGTGTCAATGAGTAAGTTTGTCAGCCTGTGTCAATGAGTTAATTTGTCAGCCTGTGTCAATGAGTTAATTTGTCAGCCTGTGACATTGAGTCAATTTGTCAGTCCATGTCAATGAGTCAATTTGTCAGCCTGTGTTAATTAGTCAATTTGTCAGCCTGTGTCAATGAGTCAGCCTGTTTCAATGAGTCAATTCGCCAGCCTGTGTCAATGAGTCAGTTTGTCAGCCTGTGTCAATGAGTCAGTTTGTCAGCCTGTGTCAATAAGTAAATTTGTTAGCCTGTGTCAATGAGACAATTTGTTAGCCTGTGTCAATGAGTCAATTTATCAGCCAATGTCAACGAGTCAATTTGTCAGCCTGTGTCAATGAGACAATTTGCCAGCCTGTGTCAATGAGTCGGTTTGTACGCCTGTGTCAATGAGTACACTTGTCTGTGTCAATGACTCAATTTGACAACCCATGCCAATGAGTCAATTCTTCAGCCCACGTCTTTGATTAAATTTTCTATACATGATGAAATACATTTACCATCATAACCAACCAAAACCATTTTTTTTTGGTTGTTTTTTGGCATTTTGTTGACAGTCTCCCCAAGTTTAACAGGGTGTTTTCCTGCACGTTTCCTGCAATTCATGCCATTGAATAATTGTCCACCAAGAAATCCAAATCTCAGATACATGTACATTTCTGACTACGAGTAAGTTATAAACTTTCAAACCATTCAGTACATGTATTCTTCACAACCCATTTAGGTCTTAAAATCATTAATTAAATATACTTAAGGAGTGATGGTTAAACTTGGAAAACACTTGACTGTTGAATAAAAGACACTGATGATCATAGATGACAAAAATACAAACCTTTATCGGGTGATTCAACAGTGGAATTAATACTGACAGTAACAGCTGGTTTGGTGGCGTGAACTCCTAAGCATATAACATTTTTAAATCAATAGAAAAATATTATATGTAAAATGGCAACAGGTGCTAAGAAAAATAAACATTTTCCCCTAAAAAAAAACCTGAATGAAGATCACCAAATTGTAACTGTAAAAATACTGATTATTATTCTCTGTATTTGAGATAAGTGTATTTCTGGTGTTTGGAATGAGAGTTGATTGAAAGCGGATTATAATGTTAAAATCAGTGATTTTTAAAAGTGTAGCTTTTCGGTATTATATTTTACTTTATGCACAGAAAAATAGAAAACCAAAAATGAAGTTTTCAAATTTTAATAGGGAATACATAAATTACAAAAGTTTTCGACCAAATCCATTTCCTGTTTTTTATATCTGTTTATTGAAATGTGATTACTATCCATCCTGATATCAACATTAGTTTTATAGTTACAAAATTATACTCAAAATAGGACAGACACATGCATGTAACTGTGTAACATTGATTTTAGATAGATCAGATTCAAACAATATGTCAACTCCAAAGAAATCACCTCCTAAACAGAGCCACAAATACATCTTTTGTTATTCTAGTTTAATTTGTTTACTTGTTTATGTGCCCAAATCAAATGCTTTCTTAGCTCCATACTTGGCTACATGGTTATGAGATCAATACATTTTTAACTACTGGTATGTTAACATTTTAATAAATGAAAAATAAATTGGAAAGTGAAATTGTAATGCAATACTGTATACTACTTTATTATTTAGAGAGACAATCCTACAAGTTTATGAAAATCATGAAACATTGTACCGATAGTAGTAGACATTTTACTGGGGTCCTATCGACACGAAGTCTGAGTAATTCTTCACATTGTGAAATTCCTAACAGTTAATTGGTTTACAGTATGTATGCATAAAACAATAAAGAGTTTGGTTTAAATCATGCAAAGTTAGCATCAAAATGAAAGCATGCAACACAAAATATTACAAGTTGACTTGTCTTGTGAAGAATCCATACATCATAACATGTATATACAAATGTACAAACAATAAAACCCTTATAAGCAAGTGTCATGCCTCACAAAATAAATCTAGTGATTTACAATGACACAATGCTTGCATGCTTACAAATTGTTTTTATACTTCCCACAACCACCAACTCCTACGGCTATCACAACATAATAAAATCCAGAACCACCAACTACATTGTACCATCGTTATCACAGTAATATTCTTCCCACAACCACCAAATATCACCATCACAAAATACTTAGACCCAGAACTACCACCACAATCATGATGCTTTGTTTTTAATTTACTAGTACTTTGATTTCTTTTTTTTATAAATAAACTAAGAACATAGTCAATAATTCTACATTGCCTGATTCCCAAAAATTGTTAGTTTTTGTTTTCATTTTCAACAAGCTGAAACTTGTCAGAGTAGCACAATAATAACCATATCCCCAACATTCCTACATATACATGTTTTAGGCATTATGACCAATATTGTTTTAAATTCACATTCAAAATAAATCTCTCCACACCGGGATAAACTATTGTGAACACCTGGGAAAGATTCAATCATGTTTTACTCATCACCATTAAGACTACTGGGACACCAGGTGTTTTATATCTGCAGATAATGATACAAACCTGTTTTATTTTGAGATGCCAAAGCTGCAAGAAGCTTTTGTTGTTTAGCTATATAAATCAAGGAATATGAACAAAAATACAATATATTCATTATATATAACAAATCTGACATTCATATATATATTCACACCTATAGCATGAATGCACTGTACAGAAAAACAATTATTCGTATTGTGCATGGAAGCCCACAATACCTAGACAAGAAAAATCCAGACAGACCTGGTAGTGTGAATAATTTTAAATAACTGCCATTTGATTTCTTTCAATCAAAAATAACTTTTTTCAAGTGCATAAATTAAAAGGACACATTTTTATTTATTCAATAAATTCATTATTCCAGTTAAAAAATGTCCATGGCCACATATTAATATAGTTTTTATGGGAGTTTGTCTGTCAATCTACACTAGCCCACACATTTGAAAATCTGCTTTTACACTGTAACAGCATGAAACTGTACAGACTGGAATAAGGTCAAGTCAGTTCTCATCAACAAACCACTATTGCAACCACGTTTTACATTGTATAAAACTGGGATGGTTGTTACTAGCACCTGTCACATTGACTGATCAAGGTTTGAATGGAAGCGTCATCAAATAGTAGTTGGATGTGAATTTTGTAACTACCGGTGGTATATTGGTGAATAATCTTTATGTGCAACTAATTAGCGGAATAATTCGCAAATTGTATATAAATGGTACAAAATTATCATGTGCATCAGAGTTCCTTTGTTGTACATGTATCACTTGAGTATTAATGTGTTCAATTTGCATTTAATTTCATTGATTAGGCTAGATATAAATATCTCACAGGTAATTGTCAGAATTTAATGTTTACAATTACTTAAATGTATAAGCAGATGGCACTTTGTTTTATTAGCTGATGAATGTGAATCAGACCATAGACCTTAGAATGACCTAAGGTCTATGATCAGACACAACTAGATTCAGTGTTAATATCTGAGACTGAATCCAAACAGCCAAATGTTTTATTCTATGGTTTCAAGCATTATTCATCATGCTTTTGTACTCTTTTTTTTTAAAATGGTGACCCACAAATTTAGAATGTATAATTTTATTGGTACCTCCAAAATACCAAAATCAACCTTCACAACATAGAATGTGTTCATAAACTCATGCATGTATCACAATGTCATTTTTGTCTGAAATATCACTATTTTACAACATTTTAAATAAATTTGCTCAGTGATATACATTTTCTCAACTTGACAAGTTTCTAAATTTAACTGCTTTACTTCTGGCAGGCGTCCGGAATTCAAACTGTAAATTGACAGCCAAAATAAAGATTTCAATATTTTTGTACACATGACTGGATGGAAATCAACATTTTCATAATCGGACAGGAAGGCAAAATATAACAAAAGTGGCACTGCATTTTTGCAGAATTCAGAATTTACAAGTATATGTAAAAAAAGTAAAAAACAAAATATTAATAATATTTATTCCTGCTTTTCAAAAGCTTTTTAACCAATAATATTGGTATTGCAATATAAATTGACTGTCTAGAAAACATGTTCACATGATGTCACATATCATACTAAAATAATCCATGTTGACAAGTAAGTCTGAGCATGGAGCTCCATGGTCTGAGTATAAACAGTGTGTCTGAATCCTAATTCCACTTCCAAGAATTCTTCTAGCTACTGTATACATGGCATCAGTGAACACACTCGATCAATGGAGGTATTCGCATATCTATGCCTCCATGCTCACCCAACATGGTGATAAGTCAATTGGAAGCAGAATAATTAACAAATTATTGTTTATCTACGGTTCTGTGATCATGAAGAATTACACTTGTCCTCAAGTGGTTCACAAAAATAAAAAATAAATATTTATTTATTTTTTCAGCCAGCAAGTGTTTGTGATTACATATACTCGTATAATAAATCGCTTGCTGCTCAGACACATGAACAAATTTACATATCAATGCAAATGACTGAACAACATGGCAGAACCGAATAAAGTGATATCTTACTCGTCTGCAGTGCCAGTTGTTTTCATCAAATCACTGAAAAACATACCTATGAAGCAGGCGTGTACCCATCTATAATGCACTTACAAATATATCACGAACGCGCAAAAGGGGCAAATATGAGTCACTTTACATGTACTTTAGGTGACGCAGTCAGAAAAGATGACAAGTGTAACATGTCTGATAGAAACCCATGGCCCGGGAAAAAAAACTTTCGAATGACCTACCTCTTTCCTCTTCCTGGATGTCAAGAACCCGATCGATGGATTTCTGGGCATTGCTGAGCGCAGACTTTGCAAAACTGGTCACTTTAGAGCTGTCAAACCAGCTCATTTTGTTATTTTTGTATGTCCAATTTCGCTGACACGTAGGAGCTTTTGGAAGAATTATGCGCAACGGTTAATTCTACTATAATATTGGCCCAGCTGATGTTGCTTTCGTGTACACCTGCGCCATCTTGAATGTAATTAACTTCTATGCCCTCGTCCAAGCACAGAGTTCAAAGAAAGATACACGCTGAGCGTGGATACATAGCTCATATACTACATTTATATCGCGTATAATATATATGACTTTCTTTAATAATTAATTTTGAAATAAATGTTTTGAATCAAATATGTCACTTGCTGCAAAGATGCACGGGAAAGAGGTAACAGCAAATGCCCCACCTATGAATTCGAAACCCCGAGTAACAAGACCATTCGCATCGCATAACACCGCATATTACAGTCGAATCTGTTCGTGTGTCAGTAAATATAAATCTTGTGTCAAACCCGGACAAGAATAACAAAATAATATTGCACGTATAATTTTGTCTGCTTCACAGGATATATACTAAATTTCACGGCAACGTTGTGAGCTCCCCAGTGGCACAATCGGTTAGCGCGCCGTACTTATATGACAGTACCTGGCTGTGCATTGAGCACTGTTGTTGAGTAATGCGGAGGTTGTGAGTTCGAGCCTCACCTGGGGAACCAATTTTTTTTTTCCTCAATTTTGAAAAAAGTATTTTCAATTACAAATCTCAATTTTTATTTTTACCCTATTCAACAAATAAATGTGTTTTTTTTATTCAGGAGAATTGCAGATTAAAAGTTCAACTACAACTTATTGGGAACAAATTATCTTTATTAAGAGTGAGCACCACTTTGATTTCAAAATATAATGGATGGAAGTGTATGTTTTTTTTTTACAGATTCAGATGCAATAATAACAAATACCACCTTTTAACAATTTCTCTACCAACCTATCTAGATACTACTGATAAACATTGTCTGACACGCAATTTTTGAAGATCTCAGGACTAGAATAATTTTTGTTGTACAGCCAAACAAATTGCCAAAAGTCTTGTCTTGCACTCATTAATTTGCATAACCAATTGCTGAACGGTTTGTCTGGTAACATTTTAGGTGATGGTGAAAGGGGGGCCAGACCCTGCTCCTGACTGTGGTGATCATGGCCTGACTCCTGAGATTGAATGAGGGCATGACAATGATCTACATACATGCCACAATTTGCTCATAGTCATACCAATTCCCTTCTCCCAAGCTTTACCACAGGTAATACACAAATCATTGAGATTGCATTCATACATGTACACTGCATCTGCATAGTTCCAATTGGGAATAGTTGGTCTGGTCGTTCTCTCTCGAATGTCGTTCTCTCTCGAATTGCCTCCTCCATTTCATTGTTTCCATAAAACAAAGCTGATCAAAACTTTCAAGAAACCCATATTTCACATTCGGACACTCTTATTATTAACAGCAAATTAACCACAATAAATTTTGTTATTAAGCAGAGTACTTCTAGTCATTTATAAGTGGCTACTTTTATTAGATCTATGCATTTCTGGCAGAATGTCCATTGTCTAAATTAAGATCACCAGTACCTCAAACGGATTGCATGACTTGAGTTTAGATATGCTTCTTTAGGAAGAAAAACACAATAACCACTTATTTGTATAAATATTCAGAAAAAGTGAATGATTCAATGGAAAACATTTCTGGTTTAATGACATGATTAACCACTTAAACTAATGGCATATTTGGATTTTATTTCAACTTCTTTTGAAACAAAAATTTGTATGAGGGAAATAATATGATAATAATCTTACAAAGTTTAAGCTTCTAAAAGATATATAACATTGCATTAACGAAATGTCATCTTGATGGCCTGACAGCCCATTAAAATGTGAGCTATTAACAAACAGTCCAAATACCTAGTTTTGTCCAACAATCACAAAATAATCCCCTAGGTAATGGGAAATCCATTACGTACAAAATTATCAACAGAAAAATTATAGAATTTCACATACCGGTAAAAGTAAAATGTTACACTGAATGTTGGCGATTTATGGTGCTCAAAAGTTAAAAGAAACAATTAATCTCAAAGTGCTTTTTAAATGTAATAATAAAACCATCAAGTTTAGACATTTTTTAATAGTGCAAAATAAAACAAATAAATCTATCAGTAAATATTATGAGTAATCATTCAATAGTAGCACCAATAAAAACTAATTTAAGAAAAATATATTTTCTGGCACAACAATTTGTTGACAATCAGCAAATTTAGAATTAATATTTGGTTGTGCTCAGTCTCTCTGTAATGGATTGATAATTGATAATCTTATCTACTGCATAATATTGTGAGTATATTACAATATATTATTACAACTACCGGGTTACAACAATTGTACATCAGAAAGTGTCTGGTTTTCTACTACTAGTATAAATGTTTTCCTATTACAATAATATATATTGTACATCAGCAAGTGAGTTCAAATTGGCAGTGTTTATTTGTCGTTATTCTTTACTTCTGTCACCTCTGTGGACATGTTCTTCTGGTATGACCTAAAAATAAAAATGATAATAATCTATCAAATGTCGCTAAGAGTAATGTTATTATCTTCAACTGAAGATACTAGTCTCCCAAACACTCAGTTCAGTAGAGTGGACAGAATGCATCTATTATTATCTGCTGACTCAAGTCATACATAAGTTTGGACAGGAAGTATTGTACATGCTGAGTTAGACCATTAGAGCAAGTTCACATTAATGTACCTTCATAACCCAGATTATCTGTAGATTATACTGAATTAAGCTGAAACTGTGCCATATGAATCAACTTGATTAAATATGTTCTCTATATTTCACTCACCTTCTTCATGACACAAACCACATGTTATTTTCTTTCTCTTCTTTGGATTCGCACCTTCACCATTTCCTCCTCTTGTCCCTCCACCAAAACTAGAATTAAAACTATTGTTGAAAGTTCTGGAGCCACCACCTGCTGTTTAAATTATAGTATACAAGTTAATTGCAATAATTCTATTACATTTGCAGACAAAAAAAATTATTAATCAACACACAAGTACAAAATAAACAGACCTTTATTTTTTTCCAAAGCTTCAATGCTTTTGTGGGAATTACACTAGGAGAATTTAATTTTAGAATTTACATGCAAGAAATTGAAATTTATCATCTTAGATAATTTAATCTCCTGCATACAGTGATATTCACTGCATGATAGTAGGCCAACATGCCCAAAGCCTTAAATACTAGTCAGATAATTTTTTAACAAATTCAATTAGTTTCAAAAAAGTAGAAAGTGGACCAACACCACCCCCTCCCATCTACTATTGCTTGAGAGATTGATCAACAATGTTGAAGACATAGTAGTCAAGCCATCAGAAAATATAAAACTTAGCTAATAATATGAAAGTATGGTGAATTAATTATCAACCACCGAACCACTTTTTCATTGTTTGACA